GACAGGGTGCGAGCAGGGGAGGGGCAGAGAGAGAGGGGGAGACACAGAATTTGAAGCAGGCTCCAAGCTGTCAGCACAGAGTCTGACACAGGGCTTGAACCCAAGAACCGCGAGGTCATGACCTGAGCCAGAGTCGGATGCTTGACCGACTGAGCCACCCAGGCGCCGCTTAAATTTTGTGGCCATAACCAGCCCCTTCCGTTGGTATCTCAAGGAAGCTCAAAACATATTCCAGACATGGATTCGGCACTAATTTAGAGTGTTAATGAAATTAAGCATAAGCACTGCTATCCCGAGTTCAGGAATCCCACTAATTGGGTTCTAGTTTCATTTTATTGCTTTGACAGAAAATTGAACTCACCTCATCAGGTTCTACCAGACACTCAAATGACGTGGTAACTACTGCCCTCACTTTTTGGATGCAAGTTCATCAAATGACTCCCTTTCCTCATGGCTGACTCTGGGTCACTACTGAATGCATTCCTCTTATGGAACAAGCTTCCTATGAATCAGTCAATGGAAGCCATAGCCTTTTAATTTCTCAATGTGCAGAGTATGGACTTAAGAACCAAATCCTGAGCCCAAAGCCTTCCATCATGCATTTGCTTTTCATTTCTGGGTTTCATAACCTTCCTTTGCCCACCGTGCAAATCTTCTTAGGGGGGAGCCAACACAAACGAGCTTGCTTTGACTATTGTCCCTAACTTACTGTCCCAGGCTAAAACATCTCAGTGATTTAAATCCTTTATATTAGTTTTCCTGGTACACAATTATAGTTGGAATGTCAAATAGTTAAATACTTAAAAGAGCTCCCCCTGTATGATATAAAGTTACCGTTTTGTACTTCGATTTCCTTAAGACACGTTTCCCTTTTATGGTTCTCCCTTGACCTCTCGACCACCACCCTCTGACCTTTAATATCTCCTCTTAACGATCTTCAACTCATTCTTACTTTCTCCATCTCTCTTGGCACACGGCCACTTTGTGATTTAGTAAATACAACCTGGTTATATAGGCGATGGGGATTGTGTTCATCGAACCCTTACACATTCAAGTTGAATCATCATCTAGGATCGGTACTGTCCAATATAATAGCCACCAGCCACATGTGGCTATTTATTTAAATTTAAGTCAATTTAAATAAAATTGACTTTAAAATTCTGTTTCTCTTTCTCACGAACCACATTTCAAGCGTTCAAGAGCCAAACGTAGCTAGGGTTGGTGGTCCTGGACAACAGATACACTGCAGTAAATTCTACTGGACAGCCCTAATCCAGGCATTTCAATGACAATGGCACCTAGAACCCAGGGAGAATTCAAAACTTTAATAGCAAGAAAAAACTGAATCTCGGAAAAGCAGAAAATGTATCAATTAATCATGAATAAAAGCAAAAACCAAACCCCCTATTTGTAGAAAGAAGTTAACGAATTTCCTGAGTAAATACATTTTCTACAAATCTTTACATTTCTATTGAACAACCCAACAACAACCTCTTCCTAAGCATTACAAACACTGGCTGGATTATAACATTTGTTGATTCAGGAATAATCTACGGATTTTTTGAATTTTTTTTTTTAAACAGAAGATTTATGAAGCTGCCAGCCTGTTCCTTCTCACTGAGGTATAAACAAGTTTGAAAAGCTTGGGCAAACAGGAATGTGGGAATGTTCCCAAGTACTTTAACGCCCTCCGAAAGGGGAGCCAATCTTACCTCCTCCACCAGTGACAAGGGGCCATCTCCCCACTTGCCATGCATGTACTCATCCATCAGCCTGCTTGGCTGTCACCTCCCCGTGAAACCTGCCTGGAACCACCCCCTCCTTGCATACGACATCCCAGCAGTCATGTCTCCCTGCTTTGCCCACCTCCTGTGCCTGCTTCCAGAACTGTGCACATTCCACCAGATTCTAATTACCTACTGACATGCCTGTCCTCTTGTGTGGCTGAGAGCTCCGTGGGGGTGGGAAAATGACCCACTCTGATTTGTATTCCCAGCACCTAGCACTGTGTCTGACACAAAGAAGGTTCTCAATAAATATTTATTGACCTGAGCAAACTGGGCTCAGAGGGTAACCTGCTTTCACCCTCAGACTCCTGCAGTCAGGGGGATTGGAGGCGTAATCAATGTAACCTACTTTGTTACCATCTACATGCAATTAACAGACCCTTGAATTAATTTGCCGGAGCTATTATTGGCTATGATCCAGTTGGCTATTGACAACCTGCGTGTGTATTTGCTAACTTGGCTATAGTTGTTTCCCAATTTCTTGAGGAAAAAAATAAGATACTCTCTGAAAACGAACAAGGTTGTTCAACCTGAATTCTTTGACATTTTTCAAAAAATACAAATAAATCCTGGGGCGCCTGGGTGGCTCAGTCGGTTAAGCAGCCGACTTCGGCTCAGGTCATGATCTCGCGGTCCGTGAGTTCGAGCCCCGCGTCGGGCTCTGTGCTGACAGCTTGGAGCCTGGAGCCTGTTTCCGATTCTGTGTCGCCCTCTCTCTGCCCCTCCCCCGTTCATGCTCTGTCTCTCTCTGTCTCAAAAATAAATAAACGTTAAAGATAATTAAAAAAAAAAAACAAATAAATCCTGCAAGGGTGAGATTTGGATTTAATGAGTTAGAATGCAATGAAAGGTTATTGTCATTATTTAAAACGTCAATAAAAATGCACTCTCCAAAGTGTAAGCCAGGAAAATGTTGATTGGTTTGTGTTCCTAAGAAACTTGACTTCATAAAATGGGCAAATACCCAGATTTCAAAAGGGAAGCCCAAATATGTCCATATTCTGCCAAAAATCATTAGTCCATAGGCCTATGCGTTTAAAACCAAAATTTAATAATTTTTATTAAGAAACTGGCATTAACAATCAAAATTTAAGATAAGGTAACTTGGTACTAAATGCAAGCTTTGAAAACCAGAATAATGGGGGTGCATGATTCTGTCGGTTAAGCATCCTACTTCGGCTCAGAACATGATCTCATATGGTTCGTGGGGTCCAGCCCCGCATTGGACTCTGTGCTGACAGCTCAGAGCTTGAAGCCTGCTTCAGATTCTGTCTGTCTGTCTGTCTCTCTTGCCTCTCCCCAGCTTATGCCCTCTCTCTCTCTGTCTCGCAAAAGTAAATAAACATTAAAAAAAAGAAGAAAGGAAAGCCAGGATAATGATTTCCTAACCAGGATGTATAAATATACGTTCGTTTTTTAGTGCTGTAATGATATCAAAGCCAATGGGACTTTTTCCCTCCACGTTCGACTGGAAGCCTAATGGTTTCTTTGTTTTTCATCTCTCCTTTTCGTATCAACGGAATACCACATTTTATAACATTTATGGTGAAAAAAAATAAATACTATCTATCTCTGAATTTATTAAGGAATTTGTAGAACAGTTTTGTGACTCTTCTTTATTTAGAGCAATACCCTAGAGATTATATTTGTATAGAGATTTAGCATTTCCAAATGCTTACAAGTGCATTATCACATTTAATGCAAATTGTTCATACACATCATTAGCTCCATTATTCAGGCAACATCTGCTCAGTTTACATATTATTCATGACATTTCCCCCCCACACCTCCTTTTTCCCTTCCTGGCCTGCAATTTGATCATTTTCTTTCCTATTAGTCTTGTGCTAGTGACAAGGGAGGAAGGAGGAAGAGAGGAAATTCTGGCTAATCCTATTTTAAAATGTATAGGGTTCTTTTAGAAAAAGTGACTGAAGATATTTAAACTGCTAGTGAAATTAAGGCTCTAGTGAGCACAGGCATTAGTGTGAATGATTTGAGTTGCTTTAATGTTTGTGACTTATTCAAATACCTTTAATCTGTAACTTCCAGTTAATAACATAATTGGTTCTAATCATGATTTCCTTGATTTGGGCCTATGTGCTAGGGATTATTATTTCCATCCAGGACACGGAGAGAGAGAGTTGATTAGTCCCCGCGGAGCCCAGGATTGGAAACCGAGTCACTGGATCCCAAATTGCACCATTCCCTGCAACCAGCGTCCCCCAAGCTTCGGCATGCCTCAGAATCCCAGGGGACTTGTGATGCACAGGCGGCCGGGGGGCCCCAATCCTGAAATTTCTGATTTGGCAGATGAGGTGGAGCCTGAGAATGTGCACTTCTTAAGAAGCAGCGGTAGGACCATTGCTCTAAACCACGGCTGCCTCTCTCAGCTCTTTTGACGCCCCACCGAGCTGCAACCACATCAGAGCAGGGACAGTCCCCTCGAGACCGCGTGGCCCCTCTATGTGCCTGCCCCCCACTGCCAACCAGACACCATCACAGTGCCAGTGTGATAACTGCGTAATTACACGCCACATAACTGCTGCATGGATTGGCTTCCACTTTCTCTTGGTATTGGGGAAACAGCAGATCAGTCAAGAGGAACGTGCAAATAACCTTTTTTTTTTTTCGTAGGGATCTGTTTAAGCCAAAATGTTTGCTCCTTTTTCTCTTCTAAGCCACTGAATGTATTAAGCAAAACAAAGAGGCACAGGTGATAGGAGAAACTGACCCCCAGCCCCCATCCCGCCAAGGAGTACTTTGTGCCCTCGAGGCACCTGAGTCACTTGACCACGAGGTAGGACCACCAGGGGTCTGTCCCTCCTCTCCCCAAATGCACAGACCACCACCGTCACCAGTCAATGCCTTCCCAGCTTGGTGAAAGGGGGCTGATTTGCTCTCATGCCATAGAAATAAATGACCTTATTTTGCCCCCCCCCCAATAATTTCTTCCACTCTTCCTTCCTTTACCTTGCAAAACAAGTCACTTCAAATGGGCATTACTCTGTTAAATTTTTTGCAACAACTTGGGTATATAGACGCTATGCTTTTTGAGGAAAGCGGCCCGATTGTGACACCCCAGACAGTTAAGTACCTGGAGAACCGAGATCCCGTGAACCACAACGTTCTACCCCAGATCCCACTGGCGAAAGTAAAACAGCTGAAAGAAATGGATTACTGACAGTTTGTTAATGTTCAACGGCATGGTCTTACCTATGCACACTAGATCCATAAAACCATACATTCCATAGCAGATTTGAAAAAGGATGTCCTTCCTCTGCCACACTGCATAGGGGCTGAAGGCAGACCAGAGGAGCCAGGTCATACTTGCTATTAAGAACAGGGATCCTAGGATTACAGCAATCATCTGAACTTTCTCAACCAGTGTTATAGAAATGCTTTGCCACTAAAAGAAAAACAGAGGCATGTAAGAAAAAGGTGCTGTGTTCAATTCAAAAAGGAAAAAAAAAAAAAAACATTTTCAGCCCCATGTTTCTCTTCATAATGTTAGACGCTTTTCGATCTGATCGGCCCCCAAATGAATTTTTCCATTTCATCCCGGCTATAAAAAATAGACAAGCAGATAAAGATTAATGAATTGCCTTAGCTTCATTATTTTCAGTAATTCACCGCTCTGCACATTTAATCTAGTTTTATTCCAGATAGCAGTACTGCGAGCGAATGGCTGAGGAATATTTAGTACCTGGGATCACATTATTATCTTTCATGCATGCACAAAATTAAATATACTCCGAAGATATGCGTTGAAGTCTCCTCTATTTGGAAACTTATTTTGCTTTTTAGCACATTTGGCTACTGCAAAAAAGGGGAACTGTCTCTTGCTTTTGCAAAAAAAAAATGTAAGAAACAAATACATAAGTTACATAAGAACATCAATGCAAAAGTCATTAAAGTAATACACTAGAATTCTAAAAGAACTATAATATTGTACATTATCTGTTACTGGTACATTTCATATACTCAGATATTACTGAATTTTAATTATCTAGTGAGTGATCTGTGAAGCCATTTTTGTCAAGATTTCGAATTGGTAAACAAATGGAATATCTTTGAAATTCACAAACCGTGTAAGTACCACACTAGTCAATGGGGAGAATAATTTGGTATCCTAAGTATCAGTATTTGTGAGGATTTTACAGTCCAAATGATCAAAAGTCTTTCAAGAGTGTTATCAACTTGAAAGGATTAATTAGTCATGTTCTCCCTTTTGCATAATTGAGACAGAAACAAGACTAGGATTGCTATTATGGTTTGTCAGTAAACAATGAAACTCAAAACAACCTGCACAATTTTATTCTGTGTGAAAGGGCTCTGGCTGTTGCAACATATGGCTTGTCAGAAGAATTCCTAAACAGTTTAAATAAGCTTTAAAAACAAATGAGCTTGAACAACCAGCATCCACTGTGTGAATCCGATATTTCCTTAAACTCTTTACTTACCTTAAGTCTGAATATGTGGATCCCAAATGGTAAGTCTGTCACTACCCATGACTCCCTCTTCTCCCTCATTGCTTCTGTCTCTCATCATAAATAATTTATATATTATATTCAAATATGCATTTTTACCTTGCATATTCATAGATAATATTAAACTCTACATTTATTAAAGATTAAATACAAAAATGCATATGAAACATTTAATTCTCTAGGGTCATTTATTTTTCTTTTAAATATTTTATTTTCTTTTATTTATTTTATTTTAATCTTTATTTATTTTTAAGATAGAGACAGCATGTGAGCAGGGGAAGAGCAGAGAGAGAGGGAGACACAGAATCCGAAGCAGGCTCCAGGCTCTGAGCTGTCAGCACAGAGCCTGACATGGGGCTTGAACTCACGAACCATGAGATCATGACCTGAGCCGAAGTCGGACGCTTAACCGACTGAGCCACCCAGGCGCCCCTTCCTTTAAAAATTTTATAACCAAATGACCATTCTGTGGAATTCCATAAGAAACGTATTTCTAATGATTTTAAGATGCAGATTCGATTATCGAAAACTGGCTTTTGGTTTACAACTCTGGATGAATAATAATTAAATTAGTCAATATGATTTTATCATTACAAATGAATCAATTTACTTCAAGCATGTACTTGAAGCTATTGTTTTGTTTTGTTTTTTTCTGGCTTCCTGACGTAATTTTAAACTACCAGGCAATTGAATTTAAAGCCATTTTAGCAGCACCTGGGCGGCCTAGTCCATTGAGCGTCTGACTCTTAGTTTCAGCTCAGGTCACGATCTCACAGTTCATGGATTAGAGCCTCACATCGGGCTCTGTGCTAACAATGCAGAGGCTACTTGGGATTCTCTCTCCTTCTCTCTTTGCCTCTCTCCATCTCGTGCTCTCTCTCTTTCAAAAATAAATACATAAACACTGAATTTTTTTTTTTTTAATTTGGCGTCACCAAACAGGTGTGAAGTATTAGTTGTCTGAGTTTAGTTTTGGTGCTCGTTAAAGTTTTAAATACCACAACAGGGGAAGCTAAGTAGAAAATAACTTCCAACCAACATCCATCCCAGATGGCTGCTATCACATCTCTATGCATTATGGTGTTCTATCAATTTATTCATATGTCAGATAGATGAGAACAAAGCATGCTTTTAAATCCACGAGGCAAAGGAACACAAGTGGGGTGTGTGTGTGTGTGTGTGTGTGTGTGTGTGTGTTATGTGTGTGTGTGTGCACGTGTGTGTGATTTTCTTTTTTTTTAAATTTTTTTTTTCAATGTTTATTTATTTTTTGGGACAGACAGAGACAGAGCATGAACGGGGGAGGGGCAGAGAGAGAGGGAGACACTGGGGAATGGTCGGAGGAAACAGGCTCCAGGCTCTGAGCCATCAGCCCAAGTGAATGACGGCCTTTGGGGAGCCTGAACTCACGCAGGACATGAAGATGGTGTGGCTGGTCCCCGGACGCTCAAGCAGCTTCATGCAAGCTACAACTTTTTTTTTTTTTTTAAGTAGACTTCACACCCAGCCCAGAGCCCAATGCAGAGCTTGAACCCATGACCCCAAGAACAAGACCTGAGCTGAGATCAATAGTCCGACACCTAACTGAATGAGCCACCCAGGAGCCCTGTGTTGGGAATCTTCTGACACATGAAGCTTAACTATTTCCTGGCAGGGAAGGAGAATGAGTGAATGGACAGACTTATCAGGAATAAGAACCATTGATGTTGCACACTTGTTTGGTGACACCAAATTGAAAATGGCTTAAAATTCAAATACCTGGCAGTTTGAAATTAGGGTGTTTAAAATTACGTCCAGAAAGCCGGGGGAAAAAAAGAGCATAACTCTTAGTTCTCATACCCTGAGATGCTTATTTATTATTATCATAGAAATTATTTTGTGTTGTGGAGATAAGAAATAAGGTCAGAAATAATGTTGAGACTTTGGAAGTTTATTTCTAAAGAAGGAAACACTGCTCAAATGCTATAAAAAGCTTCCTGAAATTTTTGGTTTTATATCAGTCCGCTAATGCAAATATGCCAATGAGTCTGAAAGGGCGTCGATGTTCTTCATATATTGATGATCCTTAAAATTAGCACCATTTATCTGAATAGCGAATGAGGGCAAGACAGTATTGAAACCAAAATCATTAAACTGATTATGAACATGGGGATTTTCCCTTTGAACGCTGATGTCATCTTGGCAATTTCTTTGCCCGTTATATAATGTTCTTATTATTGTTACCATTATGCAAAAAAGTGGGATTGTTCACATTCTTCCCCTAGGAAAAATAATGTTGCTTTCCACCACTAGGAAACACCCACCTGGCGTCTTTGCCCTAGAAGGCACACATTATCTGACGGGCTTAGCCTCAAGAAGCTGTGTTAATGGACCATTAGCTTAGACAATAAAAATAGAGGATGAGTCTCTCGAGGCTATCCCAATGGTATCCAAGGCTTGGATTTCAGTCTGTAAGACATTTCTGATATTTGAACAGAATTTGTCAACTGCTGAACATACTTTTCACCTCTAAAACTTAATATGTAAGCATATGTAATATGCGTGTTTATTTACATTTCTTCCCAAGTTTGGAAAGGTAAGTACTATAACAATGAGCAGATTGACTCTACAGAATTGCTATGATTTATTTCTTTCCATAATATTGGAATATGTTTGGCTTTTATCTTCCTGAAAAGATGCTCACTTCTACACAAACTATTGGATGTATTGTTTCTAGCAAAAGTGGGACCGAGTGGTTCCTCTTTTGTAAGTTCATCCTCATGCAATGTACTAGAAGTAATTTAATAAACATAGTCTATGGTTATATAGGGCCAGTATGTCCCAGGCACTTTTCTAGGAGGTTATGCATATTAACTCACTTAATTCCCACAACAACTCTGTGAGGAACGTACTATTACGATCTCCATTTTAAAGATGAGGAACCTGAGGCAGAGAGAAGTCAAACAATTCGCCCAAGGTGATACACCTACTAAGGACTAAGGCTGCCATATAAACCCAGGCAGTCTGGCTCCTGGGTTCACTCTCTTATAGACCTGACCCATGAACAACACGGGGGTTAGGGGAACCAACCCCCTCTCCAGCAGGAAACCCATGTATAACTTCTGGATCCCCCCAAACTTAACTACAAATGGCCCACTGTTGATAGGAAACCTTAGCAATGACATAAACAGTCGACTGACTCATACTTTGTGAGTTACATGCTGCGTTCTTGTAACAAAGTGAGCTAGAGGGAAAAAAATGTTAAGAAAATCATAAGGAAGAGAAAATAACATATTTGCAGTAGGGTACTGCATTTATTAAAAAAAAAAAAATCTGTGTATAAGTGGACTCACGCCGTTCCAAGCTGTGTTGTCTAAGGGTCACCTGTACCATACGATAATTCTACTACGCTCTAATGACAGTTAACGGCTCACACCCTGTTTTTGCAGTGACACCACAATTTTCCTGGTAACAGCTTCAAGTCTGTCTTCTATGGTCTCCTGAAATAGCTCTCCAGCTGGACTGCTAGCCGTGAGTCATGCCTTGATCCCCCGTGGCAGCCCCAAGTCTACATTCCTAATGAAAGGAGTCCCAGGAAGGAAGGCTACACATATGGCTCAGCACATATTCCGAGTCCTTGGCATATAACTGTTGCAGGAAGGATGAAAGAAAGGGATAGAGGGATATGATGAGGAAGAGAGGGAAGGAAGGGGGAAATAAGGAAATGAGGAGGAAGGAAGGGAAGGAGGGAAGGAGGGAAGGGGGAAGGGAAAAATGGAAGAAAGAAGGAAGGAAAGAAGAAAGAGGGAGGGATGTGTACGTTCCTTAATTGCTTAATCTGCCTGCCTGTATTGTCCCAAATGCATGTACTTACTTTTTATTTTGGTCTCTCTCTGCCTTTGAGCATGTTCCTTTTTCAGCATGCCATGCCCTTCTCCCC